TTTTCGTAACTTTCTGTAATCAGATGTACTGCCCCTGTTGACAAGAAACCAGCTGTGTTTTGCTCAAGCTTGGAATTGGAGGCGTCACTACATCAGAAGCCCATTGTGTTTCGCAGAGACGCAGCTGTAGCACCATGTGGAAGCGAACCGTGGAACCTTACTGGCATGGAAAGGATATTTTAGTCCCATGTGTAGAGGCAGAGGGGGGAGTGGTTGTGAGTTGGGATCACTTTAGAACAAAGAGTCACATACATTTTTTTTTTATTTTTTCTTGGGCTAAGGGTTTGAGAACTTCACCTTAGCGTCCTGTATATTTACAAATGTCTAGAACTGCACAACTTAGCAGTGTCGATATGCATATATGATCTGCTCAGGTATCTGAAAGTCTATATATGCACTACATATGCACATAAATAGAAAGGCTGAACACATAAAGGCTACATATATACACATAAATCTGAACTTTTGCTTGTCATCAGTTTGAAGATGTACAGAGCATGACACTGTTATTTCAAACTCTTACAAGCAAGATTTCTAAGATTTGTCCAGGTTTTTAAAAGAGTGCCACTAGAACCACAAGTGTGGTAGAATTTGCTCACATTCGGCACCAACTCGAAGGGTAAAATTTGGTTTGCGGAAGTACCATATTTTTTTTACTATAGTCCGCGGCAGTGTTGCCAATTTAGTGGTTTTCCCGCTAAACTTAGCGGTTTTTGGTTCTGTTTAGCGGGGTAAATTATTGTTTTGCGGGCGGCGGGATTTTTAGCCGGTTATATGAAACCTTGGCGGTTTTTTATCGATATTCAAGTTATATCGATTTACTGTCAACTATGCACCTTTCATATCCATAAAGACAAGGATAATAAGCCACAGTCGTCTTCGCTTACTCTCAGTAATGTTCTGGTTTGTGAGAGTAACGCCTGTGACGTCATCAAATCATTAAGGCGACGAATGTCGGACCGTGCCTCCCTGTTTTGTGCGCGCACGTTTGAACAGCATGAATGTTCCAATTTCCCTTTGATGTTTTTGTCACTGTTTCATGAAATGGGCGTGGTGAAGTACGCTCAAAAGTTTAGAAAAGACTGGCTATAAGACCCCAAACTTAAAGACTGGCTACTGGAGGTTCCTGATGATAGCAGACGAGCCAGGTGCCGCTATTTCAAAACAGAACTATCTGCGAAGAATGTGGATTTGGTCGCGCACGCTGCAACGAAGAAGCATGTTTCGGCCGCTGCACCTTTCTCCTCTGGTAGCAGACCACTCTACGAGTTGAACGGATCTGACTAGTCACGCACTGCTGAAGGGTCCCTTGCGATGTTTGTATGCGCTCACTCTGCAATTTCGACTTTGGATCACCCGGGTGAACTGTGAACTGTGGCGTGGCGTGACAGATTTCTAGTCAAAACAAAAGGAAAGCTTCCTTTCAGATGGCATTGATATGATCTATACTGTTATTATACCTTATATGATCTATATATGATATGATCTATACTGTTATTATACAAGAATTAAAGCAAAAAAAAAAGTGTATAAAAAGTTGTTTTGTGCTGTGTTTTGGATTTAGCGGTTTTTTAGCGGTTTTCGGGATTCCGACTGCGGGTTTTTAATTTTTGAGTTGGCAACACTGGTCCGCGGACTATACATGTTTAGTAGTTGAAATTTTACTCGGTGCAGACTATCTACATGTGTGATCTAGGTTTTGTATTTTCTAGATAGTTCAGTGTGACAAGATGCGGAGGATTTTATGGCTAACAGAGTATATTAATAGTGATTTATGTATGATACAAGTTTCTTTGTGATCTAGTACAGCAGGCATTTGTCAAGGTGTGCTGTGTATGATAATTATTACGTTCAGATTAGGCACTAAGGGCGAACTATGCACCACGTGCGGACTATGCACCACATGCGGGCTATGCACCGGGCGCGGACTATCTAAGCAAAAACTTTCATTTTTGACCCCAATTTGCTTTCGCGGACTATACACAGGGTGCGGACTATAGTCCTGAAAATACGGTATCCTACGAACAAGGTAGGTTTTGCCAGTGTTCTGTGGCACATTTTTCTGGTCTTTACGGTATGTCACTTTGAGTCGGATTGACTCTCTGGCCCATTGTGGACTCTACGACCTCCACGCTTCGAGCGCTAGCAAACCATCTTCACCACGCTATTTTCCCCCCTCATCAGAAACCCCCCGACATATGTGCTCAACGTTGACCATTTCGTGGAGCTTGTTTCTCAACTAAAGGCCACCACAGATGACAGCCTCGTATCCTTTGATGCCATATCTCTCCACGAGCGTCCCAGTTCCCCTGGCAGTCGCCACAGCTAGGACCGCTCTCGAGAAAGAAAAAGACTTCAACGAAAGGACTAGCCTTAGCGTAGATGAACTCCTCCGCCTCCCTGAGTTCTGCGTAAGCAGTACTTTCTTCAGCTTCAAGGAGAATTCTACATCCAGACCAGCGGAACGGCAGTGGGCGCGTCAATCTACTTCACCGCAGCAACTCTGACGACGGAAGCCATTGAATGAAAGGCGTTGCAGTCAACTTCCGCAAGCCCCACAAAATTCCCGCTCTACGTGAATGATTGTTTCTGTATTTTGAAAACTTCAGAGGTTAACAATTTTCTGGCACATCTAAACTCGGTCGGGCCGGCCATCCAGTTCACCGTGGAGGGAGAAAAGGACAACACCATACTGTTTCTGGATGTACTTATAAAGTGACCGGAGAACACCTGAAGTTTGCTGTGTACAGAAAACTGGTCCACACTGGGCACCACCCCCGTTTCGACTTAAACTGTCCTACGATTCGCAAGGCTTAGTGGCTACAACCCTCCTGTCCGGAGCTAGGAACATCTGCTCCTCAGAGACAGGTTTAAAAAAAAGAAAAAAAAAAGAAAAAGCAGTCACCGATCTTAGGAAGAACGGTTACATGAGCAGCTTCATCCGTTGTGTAGCTCGTCGTCAAAGTCACGATCATCGTAACCTGCAGGCACGCAATAGTAGGCAGCCTCACCCAAACACCCGCATCTGCGTTTCCTACATACCAGAAATTAGCGAAACTCTGGCCCGTGTGCTAACAAAGGATGGCATTAACCAAAAAACCTCGCACCTACCAAGAAAAAAAAAAAAATGTGCAAGGTGGGATGTACAATATTTCATGCAAGGAGTGCTTGGTCACATACGTTGGCGAAACAAAGAACCTGCACGAAGGAATTCTCCAACACAAACACGATGTACGCAAATTTGAGCACAGCTCTGTTGCAGAACACTGTGAAGACAAGGCTGACCGCATCGACTCCAAAAACACCATTGTCACGAGTGTAGAGACGAACTTCTGCCAAAGGCTTCATATGGAATCGTGACAGCAGACCAGGTTACCCAACAAAGAAGTTAAAACAGCCACCACCATAGAAGAAGACGAAGCTGCCGCTCCTCATTTGTAAATAGTCAACCCCTGAAGAACAAACCAAATTGTTTTGGAACGTCTGGACCCCAAATCTTTAGGGCACGGTTGGTGGTTATATTTTATTTTCGTCGCTTCAACCCATCCAGACGGGCTTCCGTCGAATATGTTTATGTTCGAGTCACTCATGATTGTACCTGCTTCGTGCCTTCGTTGGAAAAACAGTCAAGTACAGAGTCTTGGATTCTTTGCCAGTTGCCATTGGCTCTTATAGTTCTCTGGCCGAGAAGTATTTTTGACATCATTTTGAACTTGACATCCACCTGTGTAAATAAATTAGGCAGAAGGGGTAGCGTACAGCCCGTGATTGCAGCAAGACGGTGGTCAATTTGCTGGCTGTATCAACCATGACTTGCCTTATGGAGACGGAGAATTTTTTTTTATCTCGTAACAGACGTGGACATTTGTGACTGCCGAAGAACTTTCCAGAGTCTCACTCTTTCCTACGAAAGAAAGGTGGGTCACTGGCTAGTCCTCAACATGGTTGAAGAAAGGAAAGCGACCGTGTTACACTCGCTGCTGTGACACAGTTAACTCCTTCATCAATATCGTTTTGCTGCAAATTATACCACCACAATCTGCTCAGAACGCATAGAAATTAATGCATTCACCAAGTCTTGTGAAGATTTACTTTACTTTGGAAGTCGGCTAAGGAGCACCGCATAAATTAATGCAGCATGTGTTTTATGGGTCGTTTTCTATAAGGAAAAGCATGAACGGGTGACATGCTAAAAATTTTACACAAAGTAAGAAAGAGTTAGAAAAACACAGCAGGGCTTAAACCTGAGTCGGTGCGGTGGCAGTTGGACACTATAAGTGTTTGCAAGTACAGCCTCTGGGTGCCGGCATCTTGCTGCTGGCGTGGATAGATCCACTGATAGTCGGGCATTGCTGAGGTGCACCCATGGCCTCGGCAATGCTCGACTATCGGACAATCTATCCACACTAGCAGCAAGATGGTGGCGCCCAAAGGTCGTACTTGCTAACGCCTATAGACACTGAGATGTGTAGCGCAGCTACTCTGGAAGCATCCTGCTCCCGGCAAAACGTGCCGGCAAGAACAGCATGACGTCGCATTGTGGGGTGGTTTGTGCGAGACATAGTCTGTGGTCCTTGGTCTTTGTCGGGTTGATCGAGGTTCCGTAATTTTTAATACGTTCAGGGACGCACATTGTCCAGAGGTCAACATTTTGTGTAAATCGCCGCTGATAACGGCATAATTAGATGGAGCTTAGGATTGCTGTGGTAACAGATTCTGATCAGGACCCTCCGGAAAGTCTCAGTAGCTGCATCTTGCCGCCCCCCCCCCCCTTTCCTCTCTCTCTCTCTTTTTTCTTTCTCTCTTTCTGATTCCAGCAGCCGTAACAACTCGGAAGGCTATAAACCCCCGTCCTCCCAATCCTCAACTCCGATTCCAGCCAGAATATTTTGTTGTCTTTTCTCTAAAATAAAAGTTAATTTCACGCTGTTCTCGCAGTCTGCATGTTAGCCTGTCCCTTTCTGTTGCAGGGACTCAGTTCCTCTCTTTTTTCGATGCAGTATCTGGCAGCCCCCAAGGAGTCCGCAGCCAAACACAAGGTGCTCGCAGCCTCCACAGTCGCCACAGTTTCCGCGGCGCCCTCAGTGGCCACGGCCGCCACTCCCCCCGCAACGTCCCCGAGCAAGGGCGGCACGTCGTCGGGCGGCGGAGTGTGCTCGCGCTGCAAGCGCAGGTGCGCCGTGCAGCGCAACGTGGGCGTCCAGTGCAAGAAGGACCGGCACGGTGCGCCGTCCTCCGCCCCGTCCTTTGCGCTGGGACCCTGGTCCCAGGTGCCGCGCCTGCTGCCCTCGTCTGAGTTTGGGCACCTGCGGTTGGGACGCTTTGTGCGCAGGGAGGTCCACCCCAATGGGGGCGCCTCAGTCCTGCACCTGTACTGGGACGAGATCGCCCACCTGGAGGCGGCGGACCTCAACCGGCTGGCCAAGGACTTCCTCAAGGTGAGGGCCACGCTCCCCGTTCTGTTTGTGTTGCGTCTGCTACGGTCATCAGAGGGTCTACCAACACCCGCAGAGGAACGTACCCCCCTCTCCCCCTTACGTGTGCCATAAAGAGCCTACTTGAAATAGAGAGCATGCTGGTAAGTGTAGCATAAATAATGGGAAGAGCATAAAACACAAGGACGGACAAGACGATTTCCCAAGTGGAAGCAGAGTCTTAATGACGACTCCGAAGGGCCGGTGTCTTTTTTTTACCGAAGATAGAGGAGGGGGTCTTGTCCGTCTTCGTGTGTTATGTTCTTCCCGTTATTAATATTTTAAAGAGCCGTACTACAGAAAGTGTCCAACTGCTCAACCGGGGCCACGTGGTTTATCGGCCACGTCTGCAATATGGGCCGCAAAGAGGTGCCGTAAGCGCCGATCGTCTGCAGACGTCTCTGCCTTTCCGCCCACTTTCCTCCTCGCCACGCGAGATTTGGTCGTGAGAGCATGCGCACTTGCGACCAATCCCTGCAAAAGGCATCTGCCACTGAATTACAAACGCTCCCCGGGGTTTGAGATGGAAACTCTCTTCAATCTGGGCTCTCTAATGCTACCTGTTTTTTGAAACACCATACTGTATTCCATTTGGTATGGTGAAGCGCCATCTAGACGCTGGGCTTCAAAACCTGCGTATTCCATAGAGTGTGCCGTAGTCACCGTAGCAGCGGTCTCCAAAACGGTGGTATATTGAACTACGGGGCATGGACCTTAGGGGGGGGTGGGGAGAGGGGGAGGGGAGGGAGGGAGGGAGGGAGGGAGGGAGGGAGGGAGGGAGGGAGGGAGGGAGGGAACCATTTGTGGAAGCAGCTTCTATGGGCAGTTTCACGACCGAGTTGATTCAATTTTACACTAGAAAGTGTAATTGTACGAAAGACAGAACTGGACAGAAACACTTCATGCATACGGTGGCGTAAACCACGAACATGGCAGCAATCTCACCTTTTTTGGTTAGGGCTAGCTGCTTCATCAGCGAATGAAAAACATTTTGATAAAATAAGGAGCGAAAAATGCTGTAGTTAGTAATATCGTTAGGAGAGAGATTAAGAAAAAGGTTAATATTACAATATTTACAGAGAAGAGAGGTGGAGTTTGTGGAGGGGTCGGTCTCGTGAACGGGTCGCTCTAGCCTTGGTCGGCTAGAGCGGTCGGCTAGAGCGGTCGGCTAGAGTGGCTTATCGCCGTTCGATTCTTGTAACTCGGTTCGCATAATACCAACCGTGACCCTTCTTTTTACATTTGTTCCAATGTACTACCCCTGTCGAGCTTTCCAGTCACAGTCACTGGTTGATGCCATACTGTGGTATATTCCGGTCCTTCAAATGCACTAGCACTTTGTAGAGTCACATTTCCAGCGCTGCACACGAACGATGGTAAACAATCAGGGTGGCAGAGTGTTCCTTGTGTTGGCTAGGCCGTCAGCGCGGCATGACCGGGCGTTCTCCGCCATAAGACAGCGATTTGGCGAACGGGGATTCCAGGCGACAAAAACACGTTTCCCGGCAGTCGCCTGAATGGGACGGGGTCGCCGAAGACACGTTTCTCTCGTGTTGATGGACAGAGTTGTCCAACCTCCAGCACACGTTGGCTTCCGCCGTGCTTTGGTTGCGCGTGCACAGACGAGGCTTACGAAACGCCGAAGTGTTATCGGAGGTAGGAGACTCGTGCTAGAAGCGGGATGGCCGAAAGGCTTCCCCGCTGTTATCATTCTCTCAGTGACTGTAGACTATTCCCGTCTTCTCGTCAGTAGCTCACTCGCAGGATCTTTTTTTTTTTTTTTGTTCTCATTCCATGCCGGAGTTCTTTACGAGAAAGTGAAATCTTTTTGATACGATCTGTTTATCTGCAGCTGTGCGGAAAATTTTGTCTCGGAGCATGAAGCTAGCGCAAGAAAGCGGCTGTGCTTTTTGCAGACGTGACAGGAAAGGAACTGTGCGTGAATATTCCTGTTCTCTCTCCAACGATCGCACGGTGCGTTATTCTTTGCCGAATGTTGGCGGGGATTGATTCTTTTTCTTCCTACACATCTAAGATGGGTTTCTGTCTCCGTGGATGAAACTTCATTTGACCCGTTTGGTAGGGGCGGCGTAGTTTTTTTTAATCGAGAGTTTGTCGTGCATTTTACGGTTGGAACTGCAGTTCACCTGCTCAAATCAAAATCAGATAGCGCAAAGGATTCAACCTTGCGGGGTAACTTGAACATGCTTTTCTTTTTTTGGCTGTTTATTTGTGGTAAAAATTTACATTTAGCTTTTGTCATCTGTCGACCGTGAAAGGAGAAAAATACCCCTGTGTCTTGCCTAGTTACGACGGTTCGTTCAGTAGTGACATAATCAAACACAGAAGTTGAGACTTCTGTGTTGTCCTTTTCCATCATGCACTTGCACCAGCTCTCCGCTGGTGCAGCGCTGTACACCGCTGGTGGAATTTAGCTTCCACCAGCAGTGATTGTTGACGAAAGGTTCGCAGGAAGAATTATTTGTATCATAAAACGAGGGAAATGTTGGTTCTTGGCGTTACAGTTACGGCTAATTCTTAGCATCGGGGTGCCTACCAACCTCGAAAGCATGGAATTGCCCTGGAGGGAATTTTAAAGAGTATCGAAAAGTATAAAAAAATTTCGGAGAAATCGTAAAAATGTCGGCTAAACCAGAAAAAAGGACTAATAATGGTGGCGCGGGAATGTGCAACGAAGCATCAGGGCGCAGCATGCGGTGGTGTGGACAGCCTTTGTGCTGAGTAGCAAAGGCCAGTAGGCAGCGCTAGCGACCGCCCGATTAAGCAGGAACAGCCGCTGCAACTCCCTCTCTTGACAACCATCACATGCATGCCCTTCTAGTGGCTGTTGGTTTGTTGGTCCCTTCGACCAATCACACGTGCAACGTGTAGTAATTTTCATATTGGGTTTTCTGTAGTTTCGGTTGTGAAGTGAAAATACGTCAATGACAATGTCACTGTCAAAGAAGCTCTTCTTTAATCTGAACTGGACGGGCCTGGTGGCTTTTTATGGGGAGCTGTGGTGAAACACTGATGATCATTGATATTCATAAAATTTGCACCATGTTCTAACTATCCACCCGTGAGTATGTCTACAAAATATTGAACCGAAGTATTAAATTTTCTGCGCAGAAAATGATTTTTGAGGTTTACGCATACACCTCCGAATCACTTGCTGCCGCTCTATCGGCGACGACGAGCGGGGTCACTCGCGACGTCAAAGGTTGTATCCGAAAGCAGACGACGCTCCTTGTTCTGCGGCGTTGTGCGTTGTGGCGATGGCGAGCGTCTGTAATTTGGGACATTGCATCTGCTTTAGGCTGTTTGCGGCATATAATGAAGGGTGGGGGGAATTGGTGATTGGTTTGTGGGGTGCAATAACACCACCAAGAAATGCAGCATAGTGGCATCCTGTTCGTTTCCGACCGAGAAATGTTTGCTACAGAAGTGAATCTGAGCAGTCCAACGTGAACGCTGACGCCTAGCGACCGTGTCGTGCTGGAAAACAGTTCACACTTCGCTAGCAAATAAAACCTTCCGTGCCATTCTACTTCGAAGCGGCATCTGGGTCCACATGTCGGCGGATCGGGAATGCAGCCCTCACGGGAGGTCCCCTTGGAGACTATGGTGGCGGATCGAATGCGAACAGTGAATCATGCAAAATCTTGTGCTGAAAACCTTGATACATTTGCCGGTCATTGCCTGACTAAGACAAGCTCGACGAGTCCTAGTCCATTCTTCCCCATGGACGATCGTGACGGCCTTCTGACTGTCCCGGACGCTGGGCGAAACAGACTCAAGCTGTCTATGTGCTTATGTTTATACAACATCTGATGTCACAACAACATGGTAGACCAGGTCAGTTTCGGTTTCGGTGGTATCGTAATTCCACGATAAAAATTATTTAAAATATTTTGGGGAAATGTATTTGCTGCTTTAGGCTCAGTTTCTTCTGCTCTTTCAGAAAATAGGATTAATTAAAAACTTTCAAATTAATGCCGGACTGAGCACATGCTAAAATTAAGTCTGAACACTGCAACGACTCGTAAATATTTTTGTTCTGCAGTAGCAACAACTGCACTCTTTCCTTCATTAATTTTTTGTAGTGAAATTTACACAAAAAAAAGGTATAATTAAACACACAGTTCGCCGCAGAATTGCCCTACTTCCAGGGGGGGTGGCTTTTGCCCTGCTGCAGTGACATGTGATTGTTCTTTTCTGGTGCATCATTCCTTTCCATTTATGTGCCTACGAAAGAAGTAAAGAAACCGAAACTGAACCATCTCCAGTCTCGTTTCTGGGCCTCCGAAAACGGAGGTGACGTAGGGAGTGACGTCAAGTGTGAATAGTCGGTATCGGTAGTATTTAGGAGATCGAGACTCTGGTTACCGCGGTGGGTCATAGCAGCGCGGTGGCGCGGTCGTTGCGCCGACTCTGTCAACATGGACGAATGCCGCTCTCGCGAGCGAGTTCGAGCTTCCGTTCAGTGACCGAACACCAACGGAACGGGAGTGCGTGTGCGGCGGCCTCTGCCATCACCCGACGGAGACCGCCCAGTTGGCAACGAGCGGCCCGCATGCCGAAGGACGGACGCGGGGGAGATGCCGAGGGGAAAGCGGCAGCGATCCCGCCGTTCCGGGATCCGGTTCCTTCGCGGACTTCCTCTTTTCGTCGTCAAAGAACACAAACAGCAACCCACACGTGAAAACTAGCGTCGCCCGAACGAATACTGGTCTTCAGTCGACCGTTAGAACAGCCATCTACAGCTACATTTTGCAAAATCTTTCGAGTACCGTGTTATTTTTTAATTTTATTTGTTGGCCCATAGTTGCTCGTTGCCGGTTTCGTGTCCAGCGTAGCAAAGAAAAAAACAATGATGCTGCTTTATTTACGGTTTAGTAATCATTTCCGGTCCGATTTATACTTTTGATGGTTATTCAAGCGGAAAGTAGAACAGTATTTCT